CCCGTGGGTCGGGCGGCCTCACCCCCACCGCATAATGTCAGGATGCAGCCACCCAGCATCACCTCCCCCCCCCACTCCAGCCCCTTCCTCCTCCCCATTTCCACCCCGCCCCTGGGGTGTTAGTCCTGGATTAGGCAGCGGCGAGGGCAGAAAGTGAGCAGGTTAATGTGGCTTTTGTGTTTCCCAGACACCAAAGACTGAAAGCTGCTGAAAAAGAGACGGTTGGGATTAGCAGGGGACGAGCTGCGGCTCGTCGGTGCCTGAGGCTGTGGGGAGCAGGGGGGCAGCAGGGATGGGGGGCACAAGGGGAGGGGGCAGCAATATCCGGAGCTGGTGCAGGACCCAGCCCCTTGCCCCCTTCTCCCAGCCCCGTGTTAGTGGGACCAGAGAGCCCCAGGCCCAGCCCGGAGGTAGCTGGGTGCTGAGGGCATCCTGGGGTGTGAGGAGACACAGAGAGGTCCGGGAGAAAGAGGAGGAGGAGGAGGAGGAGGAGGAAGGGGGGAGGTTACCCTGGGAGCCAGGCTGGCGGCGATGCTCTCCGGGAGGGACCTTGGGATGAAATGGAAAAGGAGAAGTTGGCATCACTGAGGCAGGAGGACCACGTGGTGAGGGAACCTGGGGCAGCAGGAGGTGATGGGAACAGGGGAGGGGGCAGGAGGGCAAGGGAAGACCTTGGGGCTTCTGGCTGGGCTACTGGGCTTGCCTTGGGTGGGCGAGGGGGCGGGGGGGGTGTTCTGCCTTCTCCCTGCAACATCCTCAGCACCTCGAGCCTCACAGGAACTGCTCTATTCATCCTGACCTCCCAGCAAAGCTGGGGCTGCTCTTCCCATCCATCCCAGGGCTGGGGGACAAGGTCCCTTGCAGGGACCACAAGCTTTGTCCATCAGCCACCTTCCTTGGGACATCCTGGCAAACCCCAGCTCAGGGACCAAGCAGGAGGGATGGCACCAGGCTAGGAAACCTTCCTCTGGGCTGGGAGCAGCATCCCCAGCCCAAGCTCTTCACAGTGCATCCATGGGGAGGGACACAGGAAGATCTCACCCACCGTACGAGCAGGATCGCCCCTGTCCTCTCTCCTTACAGCTTCAGTCCAACCTGGTTGAAATAAACCCCCTCCAGAGCCGATTCCTGCACACCCAGCCCCTCCACCCCAGCCCGGAGCTCCCACTCGGTAGCAGGAGAGACAAAGGGATGAGGAGGGATGTGGTCTCAGCCGGCCGCGGTGCCGCCAGCGCCCCATGCTAACGAGGTGCTACACAAGCACACTGATCCCAGTATTCCCTGGTTTACAGCCCGGGATCCTGAGGCAACAGGATCTCAAGGAGAAGCAGCCAGATTTTGGAAGGCAGGGGAGAGCCAGGCTGGCGGCCACGCGTCTTGCTGGAAAATGCACACAGGGGTTCAAATGCCTTCCTATGTTTATGCCTTGAACTGGGAAGAGATGAGAAGGTTGTAAGAGTGGAGTTAACCTGGTTATCTGTCTGTCTTCTGAGGTGTTGCTCTGAAAGTGACAAAGACCCAGAGATGTTGCTCTTGGGGATGACAAGGACACCAAGCTCTGCTGAGTAGATTGTCTGTCCGTCCATCCATCCATCCATCCATCCATCCATCCATCCATCCATCCATCCATCCACCCACCCACCCTGGCTGGCTGGTGGCAGAGCTCAGCCCCGGGCCAGTGTCCACCCACCTCGTGATCCTCCTGGGCTCCATGAAGCTGGGGGAGTCCCGTCTCCTCTTCCTGATGGGGGAGTAGCTCCGGGAGCGGCGCCGGGCGCGGGCAGGGTCGGGCTCGCCGTGACGCGCTCGGGGCTCGCTGTCCTTCTCTCTGCACCCCGAGGAGGAGAAGGGTCAGGGGTCCCAGGGGGTTCAAGGAACAGCCAAGCAGCCCCCCCATGGGGGTGACACCCCAACCTAGGGCTGGAGCTTCCAGTGCCACCAGGGACAACATGACCCGTATCCCCCTCCCCAAGCCCTGGGGAGCCAGGACCACCCTGAGCCCTGTGCTCTTCCTGAGCCCATCCCCTTCCCCCCATCCCCATCCTCCACGTGAAGCCCCCCGAGGTCTGACCTGCTGGCAGGTTTTTTGGGCGAGGGCGAACGGGAGCGGCTGCGTCCCAGCCTCTTTTCCCGGGAGCGGGAGCGGGATTTGGAGAGGGACCCGCTGGAGCTCCAGGAGCTGCTGCGCTGGCCGGGGCTGGGCGAGGGGCTCTTCCTGCGCTCCGAGACGTGCCGGGAATGCTTGGCCGACGACTCCGAGCTGCTGTTGGGCCGGCCCCGGTGGTGTCTCTCCTTCACCCTGCCAAGGCAAGACCCCCCAGCACCTCTCACACCCTCCCTGCAGAGGCCAGCAGGGTGTCCCGGCCCCGGGTCCCAAGGGGGAGCAGCGGCTGCACCTGCATCCCCTGGGTTTTTGGCTGGTCCCTGCTGATAGATCCCGGGGTGCTGCCCTGCTGGAGACCCTGCACCAGGGTTGGGGGGTGTTGCAAACCCACGCTGCCATCCAGGCACTGCCCTGGGCACTGGGATAATCCTTTGTGGGGATGACCCTTCCCACAGCTCGCTGGCCTGGACCCACTGTGGCTCTTCCCCGTCCCCACCTCTGTGCCCACTTCCAGCGCCATCCCTGATCCTTTTCCCATCCCAGTCTCCATCCCTGTCCCCAATCCCCATCCCCATATCTCTGTCCCCATTCCTGTCCCCATCTCCATCCCCAACCTCATACCCCATCCCTCAAGCACCCCAACCCCACCCTAGCCCCCAGCTCAACCCCCTGAATGCCCAGATGGAACCTCCATGGGGCTGTCCCCCAAATCCCAGCTCACTCCCCATGTCCCCCAGAGCCCCCCCATACAC